GTTTTTTGAAGCGTCACATTTTTTTGTTAAATAGGAAGCGATAATATAAAAAATATTTTATTTAAGTAATTAAACATTTCTCCAAAGTAAACTAGGCAAAGACTTGAGTGTTGTTGATATAGAAATAAAGTACTTGTTTTGTAAATGTTTTAAATTTTGAATGGTATCTTAGTTATTTTGATATAGTGGTGATAATTCTTAGGAACTTGTAGTTTTTCCAGATTAATTATATTAGTGAAGAATGATTTTATAACTGAATTAAACACTGGTGCGGGGTGGCCGAGCGGGCTAAGACATGTGTACAGTACCGTGTTGCACGGGAACCTGATGAAAGATTTTTGATAAAATGAGTTAGCATTCCGTTGCCGGGGGGAGAGCTTTTAACTCTGACATTATTCCTCCGCTCTTACCGCAGGGTCGGGAAAACTCCGTATAGCCTAAAAGGCGAGCACAACAAAATAAAATAATAATAATTTAAAAAAAATCTGATTCTTACAAAATTAATTTGTTTTTGGGTGCGATAAGTGCAAACTAATCATATTAACAAGGGGAGACCATAGTAAATGGGTCACAAATTTCATGAAAATAATTGAAGCAATCAATATGTTTATTTATTTTAAACCTATATTAGGGCTAGAAATATTAAGTTTGTCATTAATAAATACGCATCAATTCCTATGACAGAAATCTGCAGAAAATTGTAAAAATGTGTTTCACCGTTGAAATATAGTGGTACTTCCAGTTAGCCGATTGTGAGGAAAAAGTTGCCGTAACATTTCAGTCATATACCTATCTTAAATACGTAATATCAGTTTCGTACGAATTTTCGATTTTGAGCTAGACTGTTCAAATGCACGCAACCATTTTGCGGGACTTGATTATTTGGACTCAGGGGACCTCAAACCTGTATTTCCGTTCAGCACTCAGATTCGAAAATTTTCACGATCACAATACTTTCCCTTACTGTATATTACATATATAGGTAAGTGAAAGTATAACAGGTTAATAACCAATAGTCGTACGATCCATAATCATGTATAGGTTAAATATTCCATAGATACGTTTATAACCTAAAATATATTTACTGTAGTTTAATAACTCTAGATCTGATATTATATTTAAATATTTAGATATCTATCAACTGTTTATTCCGAAAAATAATCATGTAACCATTTAGAAAATTAAATTAGTGAATAATTTGATGATATTTCATTTTGTGATATTCCAACATTATTTACTTCCAATCAGTGTGACAACTTTTGACCTGTCTATGACAGACAATGAAATCTCTGAATTCCGTTTTAGTGCAACTTTGCAATGGATAATAACAATTCAATAACTAATATTCGTACAATTGATAATAATTTATAGGTTAAATATTCAAATATACTTTCAAACCTCTTTCAACGCATATATGAGCCTTCCGGTTGACAGAATGACTAACCCCAATTTCAAGATTCTTTATTATTAATTTTAGTGATGATTCTAGTGACAAAATTTATACCTATTTTTACAGTTCTATATTTCAACACTGCAATCACCTACTCCGGAATCAACTTACTCACTATCTGTATAGATAACTTTTTCAACTAGAAATATCACTAAAATGACAATACTTAAAAATGTTGAAATTGGAGTTAGCCGTTCTGTCAACTGAATAACAGAGATTCTCAGAGACTGAAGTTGTGTGGTTTATAAAATCAGATAAAGTAACTAAAGTTTTATTACCTACCGTCGATATAATAATTAGACATTTTGTAATTTTAATGGCCTTAATGATTTGTTATCTGTAAACTTTAGGCGTTAGCTCCGTCTAAAATGCACTAGAAAAATCTTATAATAGCCCAGCATTGCCCGAAAATAATTTTTATTCAAAGTAGAGCGGTAAGTGAAAGTTGTGTATCGCGCGCAATATATTTTTTGGTTCATTATTTTCAATAATGAACCATTGTGATCGACCGAAAAATTCAAAAACTTAACTCCTCAAAATTTGAGATTTTGCGTTTCAGGATACGTAGAATTCGAAAAACGAATAAAAAATTTTTTGTCTTTCCGTCTTCCGCGCATTTCCTCCTCTAATAAAATAAAAATAAAGACCTCACCCGAGGATGATCCTCCTTCGTCAACATTACTATCCGCCTTTTACTTTCAAATTGGCGGCCAAAAAACCTGCGTTGCTATTGACTGTAGCGCCTAAACGAATGTACCGATTTCAATGATACTTCGCTAAAGTCATTTTCTCGACGCTCTTTAAATTTATCTATACAACATACTTCAACGAAAAGAAGCTGAAAAAAGTTACGAAGGATGGTAAAATTAAATTCCGAATAACTCAAAAAGTGTACACTTTTTGTGAATATTGTGATAAAATATTTCGAAGATATTTAAATTTCCTAAAAAATGATGTAAGTTTCATCAAAATCAAAGCACTATTAGTAGAGATATCGCGATTTTAATATATTTTTGGTTTATTATTTTCAATAATGAACCATTGTGATCGACCAAAAAATTCAAAAACTTAGCCCTCTCTCAAAATTTGAGGTTTCACGTTCTGGATGTTTTTTTAAAAGTATGCGGGATTTCCTAAAAAAAATCGGACAATTAGGAGCAAAGATATGGTCTCTAGTTTTTTTATGTATGTTCTAGTGGAAAGGTTATTTATTTTATTTTGGTTTTTGAATTTTGAATGTGTTACTGAAGTAATGCTAGAATATTACTAATGATTAAAAAAAAAGTTTAGTCCAATAATTGGAATCCCCTTTTATTTATTTTTCTTTGTAATTAGGTTGAATCCACCTAATCAAGGTACTAACACTGATTAAAATACTGTTTCATTGTAATTGTATGAAAGAAATAGTGAAATATAAAAGTTTAAATACATTTATTGTAGTTTAATAAGTCTAGATCTGATATTATATTGGAATAATTATATGACAATCATCCGTTTATTCCGAAAAATCATCGTGTAACGTTTATAAAATTAAATAAGTTAATAATTTGATGAATTTTCCCTTTTTGAAAACCGAACTTACATTAGTGTGTCCAAGTTTGACCTGTCTATGACAGACTAGGCGAATCTCCTAATTCCATTTTAGTAAACATTGCAATGAAAAAAAAAACGTGATAACTAATACTCGTACAATCCATAATCAACGGAACGTACAACCCATAATCTACCGTCGATATAATATGTAGAATTTTTGTTATTCTAATGGTATTAATGATTTGTTAACTCTAAGATTCAAGCTGTAGCTCGGTTAAAAATGAACTTAAAGCATTTTTTAATAGTCCAAAATAGCCAGAAAATAATTTATATTCAAGTAGAGCCGTAAGTGAAAATTGTGTGTGGCGCGCACCATATTTTTTAAATTTTATCATGTTTACGCAAGCCATCAATAATTACTCTTTTGAATGGGTGCCGAGACATGTAGGTTTATCGGGAAAATGAGATCGTGGACAAAACTGCTAATCAAAATCAGGTCCATCGCATGCATTCCATAGTTCCATTATTGGACTTGATAAGAGTAGTGAGGGGAAAGACAATGAAGGAATGGCAGCATTTTTAGGGATGGAAATGTGACTCGAAGGGTAAGGACCACCACGCAGTTCATCCGAAGATAGCCTAGGCACTATGGGTCTAGCTAAAACTGGTTACTGCCCAACATGCCAGTGCCTGGAAGATCCAAGGCACGTTGCATTCCAATGCAAGAAGTTCGATAAACGAAGGAGAATCAGTTTAGGGTCACAAGCTGTCGATGATAGTTTTAGTTATCTTAGATCAATAAAAAAAAGATAATACTAGTAGATAAGGTCAATTCTTAAAGGAGATAAATGCACCTATTTAAGTCCCTTATACTCTTTTGAGATTCATTAACGTATATGTAACATCAATAAAACTTGTGTAAGTCTATAAAATATTAAATTTTATGAAAATATTAGTTTCAGTTGAAAGTCAGTTAATTAAGCCATTACCAAATTTAAGACTATCAATATAGAATTTTAAGATTTAAAATAAACATTATAAATTTCGCATAAAATATTTGCGTTACGGAATCAATTTCAACTAATAACTAGTAACAACTTAAGAATCATAGTAATATACTGACAAAATAGGATTTGCTTTAAAAAGCCTTAAGGCAAACACAAATTATTGAAACATTACTCATTTTGAAATCTCGATAGTTCCCTTCCTGTTGGGTTTAAAACAAAATGTTACTTCCAAAAAATCTAAATTGTTTAAGATTGACTACAATATTTTTTAACAATAACACTTTAAAAACGAGATATTTAAACAAAAATAAGTACCAAATTTCAATAGTTTTTAGATTACTGCAACGAACACGTTTGTCTTTCAACGTCGATATTTTATATTCACCATACACCAACAAATAAAAAATTACCCTACTTTTTTTTTAAGATAGGCCTCTTATTTTTTCCACATTTGACGAGATCTTACCTGATATTAGAGATTAATTGTATATTAATATAGCGAGGTTAGTCAAAACTGTTTAGTTAAAAAAAAGTTTCATTGAAATCTGTGACCCCACTTCCGTAACCTCCTATTGTAAGTGAAACATTTAAAATTTATTTTCAGTTTGGAGCGATTTCTGGTTAGCAAGAATAATGTAACCTTACATCATAACTATCCCACTTCTTGTACACATAGTTTTATCCAAATTTCAATGCCACCTTACTCTCATTATCCTAATGATTGATTACAATCTTTATCTATCGAAACTCATCTCTGTAAAATCCTTGTGTAAGGTTGAAGCGTAGTGAGCAGGAGACTTATTGTCTTCTTTTAATTCCTCAGCCAATAGAATAAGTACTATGCATAAATATACCAACATTTAGTATGTTTAAACTTCATTTTCTTAATTCTTTTGGAGCTTGCAATTTATTAATATTTTCTATGTATATGATCTGAATGTTATTTTTCCCTTTTTTTTTATTTTTTATTGACCGTTTCGTGAATCTCAAATGCTTTTTTTTTGTTTCAGATGTTTAGATAAACTAGAAGTAGAATATGCTGAAAATAACAAAAGGTTTAAAGAAGAAAAAGAAAGGGAAAAAGAGCAAACACAAGGAGGACGATCTTTTTGATTCAGCAGAACTTGAAGAGTACAGGCGCCAACAACAGGAAAAGAAGAAAGAAAGCGGAGAAGGTAACCAAGAAGAAGAAACCACCAATGCAGAAAGTGAAGAGTGGCTGAAATTCAAAGCTTTAACTTCGGGCGTTGACGATATCCTAAAGAAAACTCAAGGAGACTTAGATCGTATTAAATCAACAAGCTATTTCCAAAAAAAGCCGCCGGGCCCCAGTCAACCGCCGAAAGAACCCCAACCTTCTACCACCGAGGGAAAAACAGTTAAAAAGAATAAGTGGGTAGGCTTCGAAGAAGGGGGTGCAGCTAAAGATGATGAATCACAAGATGAAAAACAACCTGAATCAAATGATAAAGACCAAGAACAACATGAAGAGCACATAGAGGAGGAAGAAGAAGAAAGTGAATTCGAAGATGACCAAGACGACATATTCGATACCTCATTCGTGGACGTTGTAGCAAGTGGTGAGGTCAAGCTTGCATATGTTCCAGACAGCCCTATTGAAGCGTTAGCTGGTCCTGACCCCTTTGATACCTCCATCGTTGATAAAGTTATAAAACTTGATCCAAAAGAGCAAAAAAGAAGTTTAGTAAACCTTGGTTGTGCAGTTGAAGTTCTCACTGGAAAGCTAGACAAAAGTCCCTGTAAAGAGACAACAGGTACTCCTCGAAAGAGGCCCCAGACACAAGATCTTCTGTTGGGCAGCTTCGATGAAGCTGACCTAAAACCAGTTGCAGCTGTCACTGAACCAGAACCCAAGTCTATTCTTGACGATGACCCAGTATTCGAAGAAGAAACAAGTGCAGTATTAGGATTGCCACCAGTCACACCTGCAACGGAAAATAAGTCTATTTGCTCCGTTCAAAAACAGAAGTCTGCCGGAAAAAATGTTGTATTGAAAGAGTTGGTAGAAGAATTTGTTCCCGCGCTAGGACTAACAGATGAACAAAGTTCGAAACCTGAGGAAGACGATTTGGATGATGAGTTCGCTATTCTAGCTGCGGAATCCTTGTCTAAAAAACCACCTCCTCCAAGACCACAACCACCTTTGGTGAAACCTGAGCTAGGCAACGCGGAAGTTGACGAAGTCGCGTTTATTCAAGGTGACGACCCATTTGACACTTCCTTCGCTTCCGAAATCTTACCCGGAAAGTTCGAATTAAAACTTATAGAGAAGGAAATACTTGAAAAAGAAATTCCAATAACTCTTAACTCTGTAGAAGAGAAAATAAACACTGTTTTAAAAAATTCCGAAACGAGTGTGAGAGTAGTTCAGAATACCGTTCAAGATCCTTTTGACAACCAACTAGAACCTCTGAGCTTGAAGCATAGAGACTTACTCGGAGGAAGTACAACAGACTTAACGAAGATAAACCAATCTCCTATTGCCCCGAAAAGTCTTAGTGAAGAACCTGAATTCGAGATTGGAGATCCTTTCGATACATCAATAGCCGACGTATTTGTCGTACCAGGTAAAACTGAATTGAAAGTGTTAGAAAAAGAACTCCTAGAAAAAAATCAATCCGTTTTTAAAGTCGATGTTGATAATGAATTCGATCCTAGAGCTGAAGAGAGGTTTTCCGTGAATAAACAACATCCGCGTCCTGATAATTTATCATTTGGGAAACGCTCTTCAGTTCCAAAAGTTGTAGCGTTCGATGTGGAATGTCCTGAACAAGAAAGAGATCTATTAGCAGTAGGGCAAGAGGAAAATATCAAAATCGGAAAACCTTTAACACCATACTATCCCACTCAATCGATTCAAGATATTAAAAAATCAGAAGATAATGTCGACCCTTTCGACACCTCTCATATAACTAATTGTCCTGGAAAACTAGAATTGAAAATATTAGAGAAAGAGTTAGTAGACGAAGGAAAGCAGTTAAAGCACAGCCTTTCAGATCCTGATTTTGATCCAAGAGGGATTGAAAATGCTACACCGCAGCCAGTGAACAATACGAAAACAGAGCAGCCCGACATTCTTTCTGATGAAGTCATTATAGATACTAAACTCCATACTCCAGTGGCTCCAAAAAAATTTTCAGATGAACCACCAGTGCGAGAAGAAGAAATAGATCCATTTGATACGTCAATAGCTAACTCTCTCATACCAGGTAAAGCAGAAATTAAAATTTTAGAAAACGAACTCATTCACAGTCAGGACACAACTCAAGTCGTCGCTGGAACTTCAATACTCGAAAAGTTGCGGAGAGATTCGGAGTCTTTCTCATCTTTACGGAAACTTTCTATTACAGAAGTTCTTGAACTCCCTCCAGAAGACACTTCTGTAAAGCCTTTAACTCCTATATTTCCATCTTCTTCTTTGGAACAAGACGAAGACACCGATCCTTTCGATACTAGCGGAATAGGAGAAATCCTTCCCGGGAAAACAGAAATAAAACTCTTGGAATCTGAATTAATGCTAAATTAAATCAAAAAGATGTCTAACCCATTTTTATTCACTGAAGAGGTTGGTACAACCCAACTTAGCAATTCGAATGCCAGCTTCAATCCCTTTCTGGCCGGTAGTGATGTTGTCAGTTCAGAAAATGACAACCCATTTATGAGTTCTATCGTTGGATCACAAAATGTGTTTGAATCTTCTACTACAGCCACGAATCCGTTTGCCCTTGGAACAGATTCCACGGCAGAATTAGACTTTTTTTCTACTCAAAACAATTCTTTAGGGGAAACATCTATTAACTACGAAAACATTTTTTCTAGCCAACCTCAGACAGAGTTGGATCTATTTTCACAAGTGCCTTCAGAAGATCAAAATCAACTAATCCAAAATGATTTTATGCCCTCAACAGATACGTCGACAAATTTATTTGGTGGCTATGAAAGTGGGTATGAAGAAACTGATAAGGGACCTCCTAGGAGACCTCCACCGCCTAGGCCTGGTCCACCCAAAGAAACTAAAGACCTCATACTTAGTGTTACAGGTGCTATGGAAGCTACATCATCCCATCTTTTGGATAGGCTGCAGGCAACTAGAACTCCAAGTCCAACGCCTATGAGGGATCTTCATTCACCAAGTCCTACGCAATTTGGCGACCTTTTGGAAGTAGACGAGCCAAGTGGAATAACAGGACCAAAATCTCAACCTCAAGAAGTGAACCTTCTAGGGGATGACTTTGACTTCACTCCGGCGAAACAAGAAGAGCCAATTACCATGAAACGCCCAAGTATTGGAGATGGGACTATGGTACCGATAACTCCCGTTCCGCTCGAAAATGAGCACATCCCTCCGATAGCACCAGTAGCGAAACCTGCAGTTCCACCATCAAGACCAGCTCCTCCGTCGATTCCAGAAAGACCTCGAGTCCCGCCGCAACCACCGAGACCCCAACCACCTATTCCAAGCAGACCCAAAACACCAGAAATAACACCATCCGTTACACCACAACAAATCGTTTCACCACCTCAGCCCGCAAGTGTTCAAGTAGAGTCATCGCAATCTCAACAGATTGGCTTCGATGATGTCTTTGGAATGAGGATTCAATCAGAAGAGGAGCCTACAGTTGTGACTCCAGATGTTTCAAGAAGCAGTCCTGATGTGACAGCAACTGCTACTTTGATCTCAGGAGCAATCCATAAAATACAAACATCAGCAACAGAGGCAGAATCCATAAAAATACATGAAACTTCAGAAGATCCTTTCAAAGAACCGGCAACATTTGTTCAGGAAGTCATTCCAACAACTGCAGCTCCTTTATCACCACTTATCACTAATCTGCAGCCTATTACACCTACTGCCCCACCTCCTACAGCTAATGTAATTAACGAGGAAGCATCAGTCGATATTTTCGATATTGGCTTTACTGCAGCAGTTACTGCAACTCAACCAACAATGAGTGACAACTTATTTGATGTAGATCAAACTGATTCTGCTTTCGGTAGTGATTCTTCAAACCAACCAGTGACTAATGAATTCAGACAAGAAGAACCAATATCATCAGCCCCAGATTCACAACCATTTAATATATTTGATGCTTTCGGCTCAAATTCATCTCAACTACCTCAACAAGCTAGACAAGACGATTTTGACGCATTTGCAGCTAAGTTTGAAAGTGCTGCGTTGAGTGATGCAACAGTGAAAGCTGATCCCTTTGATCCATTTAGTTCTAGTTTTCAGAAAGCAGCTGCACCTGCAGGTGAGTAATATAGATACTTTTTCTTTCTATCTTTCATCAGAGAAATCAAAAATATTACATATTTGTTTTAAAAATTATCAGAAGAACCAATGGGATTCGGTGCAGAAGACAACTTTGACAGTTTCCTTTCATTAAGGGAGCCGCCTCCGGTACCACAAGGAACGCCCGCAAGGATAAGCCGAGGCGAATCAGCTGAATCTAATGAAGATAATGATTTCAATATTTTTATCAAGTAAGTATTAAGTTAAAATATTTTTTTGATTAATTTCTGAATGTGAAATAACAAATATTATTGTTCTAGGCCAAAAGTAGGAGAAGATAAAACAATTAATGAAAACCTCCCTTCGTTAGCTCCTCCACCTAAAAGTCCGAGCCAAACCAATGCTTTCCAAGATACCAGTCCAAGATTCAATCCATTCGATAATACTCAAGAAGTGCCCTTCGCAGCAACAGAAAATATATTTGCACAAGGTTTAGCTCATTCATACTCAATATTGGTTTCAATTAAGATTATTTATTTATCTAATCCTAATCGAATAATTATTTCGAAATTTCACAGCTGTTTCAAACGAAGAACCTAGAATAGGACGGACTGATTCACAAGAAACTCCACCAACTCCGTTGTTTGACGAGGATGTTTCTCAGCCATTAGAAGATTTTCCAAGAATCCATTATGATGGATCAGGATGGGAAATGCAACTGAGGCAACCAAACAAGAAAAAAATTACTGGACAAAGGTATATGAATGTAACAATTATTTTCTTTCACTCACTTCTTTCCTATCAGAAAAAAGAGAAGGCAACTTTTTTTTTCTGATGGGACAGAAGTGGGTAAGGCGTTGGTCTTAGGTTTAGCTCGTAATCTACTAGGAAATTATATATTCTTTTAAATCAGCCTTGGATAGACCTGGGGGTGCGATCTTTCTGGGGTACATCTTGTCTCTAAACTTTGGGTAACTTTAAAAAAATGTGTGGTGGCCTTATTATCTTCTTGCACAACCATTGGCCAAGAAACAATACATCCTTACCAGCTTCTGAAACCCAAGACCCTTCATGGTTTGTAAGAGGTTGAGGTTTTTTTCCCTCTAAGATTAAAAACAGAGAATAGAGGTTTTATTTAGTAAAAGGATGGTTGTAGTTCCTAATAAATCTCAAGTAGACAAAACATTGTACATAATATGGTCACAAGTTCAAGTGATTTAATTAGAAAATTAAATTCAGCTTAAGCAATTATGATCCTGGTGCAAACAGTCGTTGGTATCTTTACCAACATACTTCAGCCAATTACGGAATCATTGTAAATGGAAGAAAGAAATATCAAAAGCATATCACTTTTACAATAGGACTTTATACATAAAATGATTGAAATGATTCAATTTTAAAAAGAATTGTATCTTATCACTCTCATCCACTCCAGCTTTCAATTGCATTGAATTTAAAACTTGAGCACAAGAAAAACCAAATTCAAAAATAGAAAATTACAGATATGATCGCTTTCGTTTCTTTTTCACTTAAAGTGGCCAGAAAGTGATTTTTAGTTTAAAGAGGTAAGTTGTTCATTCACTTAAAGCCAATGAGTCAATAAGAAAATTTAAGTTATCAAAACATAGATGTGGAAAACATATGATTAGCGAATGATTATTTATGTTTTACTTGATTTTTCTTTCTTTGTAAATTGTATGCATAAGCTATAATTGCCTTTTTATTTACGAAAAACAATTAATGTATTATAAACGATTAAAATGGAGCAACGAAACCCAAATAAATAAACAATATGGATCTGCAGCAAGAGGCAGATCCTTCTACTACTGAAGAAAATGATTGTACTATCATTACTGAGCGAAATAGATCATTATCTTCTGCAAAATCCTAGCATATTCACAATAATTTAGTTAAATACTGGTGGACAGGAATTGCGTCGAAGGGTAAAAGTGATATGTTTGGATTTTGATTCATTTACTTGGATCCGCCACTTATTACACCAGTTTTCAATAAAAGAGAGGTGACTTTGTAGGTTTAAGGATGCTGTTTCAGAATCTGGATTGGAAGATAAGATGGCTGTGTCATCAGCGAATGTTGCCAGGGGTGTTTTGGGATGAGTAGGAATATCAGCGGTAAACAGAATGTAGAGGACGGGACCCAAGATGCTGCCTTGAGGAACTCTCGCCTTGATTGAATGACAGTTGGAGGATTCTGTACCACAGCGAACTTGAAAGGAGCGGTCAGAGACTTAGGATCGGAGGATAAGATATAAGGAATGGAGTAGATGAGATTTAAGCTTGAAGAGCAGTCCGGCGTGCCATACCAGTTCAAAAGCTAGCGCGATGTCCAGGAATGCTCCCGAACAGTACTCTTTGCTTTCTAGGGCTGAGGATATGGGGTCAACAAGTCGGAATCCTTGTTTGACAGTAGAATGTTGCAAGCGAAATCCGAATTGGTGTATAGGAAGGTTTTGGGATTCTATTATGGGTAGGATTCTTTTCAGTAGGATTTTTTCAAAAATTGTTGAAAGGATTGGGAGTAGGCTAATTGGTCTATATGATAATGTATTATTAGAAGGTTTGCCAGGTTTCAAGAAAAGGACGATGGTAATGTTTCCATAAGAGAGGAAAATGGGTAGTTCTTAGGATGCAGTTGTATATGTATGTGAGGAACATGATTGCTTTGGGTGGTAGTTGATGAAGGATCTGTGGGGTTAGAAGGTCGTATCCAGGAGATTTGCGGGAAGATAGTATTTGTAAATGATATTTGACCTCAGATGGATGAACTGCTTTTGGTGGTAAAGAGAGTGAAGTTGGTGAAGAAAGGAATTCTTCTACTTTTGTATTATGGGTTGGATTAGTTTCGGGATGAGGAGTAAATGTACTGGAAAGGTGTTTGGCGAATTCCTCAGCTTTGTCTTCATCAGACGCCTCCCAGGAGTGATCATCTCGACGGAGAGGGTGGAAAATATTATGGGTTTTTAGGATTTTTTTTTTAGATATTCCAGAGGGAATTGTCGTGAGCAGAGAGGGAGGTAAGGAAGGAGTTAAAGGATTGGGATTTGAAGTTGGATAATTTTTCCTTTAGTTGTTTACAGAGATAGTTATAGGAGCTGCGGTCGTTGGGATGTCTGGTACGTTGCCATAACAATCTGGCACGGCGTTTGATATGGATTAGGTCGAGGATGTGATGAGGTACTTTATTTTTCTTTGGAATTATAGGAAAATGATTAGGAGAGGAAGCAATCCAGACTGCTTGTTGAATGGTGGTCGTTAAGGAATGTACAGCATTGTCAAGGTCTTCTGGGGTTTTCAGGGTTATTCTGAGGTCAATTTGATCGGAAAGTATTTGACGGAAGAGTTTCCAATTGACTGGGCCTCTGATGAAGGGAGGGTTTAGGAATAGGAGCTAGTGATACTTGGAATATTAATGAACTGTGGTCTGAGGAAAGTTCATCAAGGCGTGCAATGGAATAGTTGAGGGAGCCTAAACCACTATAGACGAAGAAATCAAGGATATCGGGATTATGGTTAGGATCAGTGGGCCAGTAGCTAGGAGAGTCCGGGAGAGCAAGATTAAAATGTTGGGAATTGAGTGCAGACAGCAGTGTTCGACCTCGAGAACTCGTAGTTCTTGAACCCCATTGCTAATGCTTGGCGTTTAAGTCTGCATCCAGGATGAAATGGTGTCCTAAGGAATTGTGGAAGGAACTAAATTGGATATTAGAGGTGGATTGGTTGAGAGGGCAATACGCTGATGCTAGCGTAATAGGAAACGAGAATGTTTTGATTATGATAACAGTGGATTATAGGAAATCGTGAGTAGGTGATGAAAGAGGGATTTGTGTACAATGACTGCAGTGCCGGCATGTGCTCTACCGTCTGGATGGTCAGTACGATATGTTAAGTATTAAGGTATATTTAAAATTTTGTTTTGGTCAGTCGAGTTTCCGTAATAAGGGCTACATCGACGTTCTTATCTGGCAATAAAGCTGTTAGTTCGTCAGTGTGGTTTCTAACACCATTCGCATTCCAAAGGAGAATGGATAAGGGTTTGATGGAATTCATTTAAGGATTACTGATGTAACTAAAAATACATTTAACGAAAAAATATTCTTCATCAACTACATTAATTAATAAAAGGATATAAGATGAAGAAAAGGTGTTAGATGACAAGATTTCGCAGGTACCAAAACGTACTGCAATCACCAACCACGTTTTTATTTTCACTTAGCTATATATATATAGTAAGGTTAATTACTTTCACTTACCTATATATCTTATATATAGTAAGGATGAGTATTGCGATCGTGAAAATTTTTTAATCTGAGTTTTCAACGGAAATACACGTTTTGAGGTCCCCGAGTCCAAATAACCATGTCCCGCAAAATGATCTGTGTGTGTGTGTGTTAACTGTCTAGCTCAAAAACGAAAAGTCGTACAGAAGTGAAATTGCATATCTAAGGTTTTTATATGCTTGGGATGTTACAGTAACGTTTTCATCAAAATCGTCCGGAAGTGGCTCTTTATATAATGAACTAAACACATTTTTACGATTATCTCGAAAACCGCTCCAACGATTTTGATTAAATTCATCATATCAGAGCAAAATTAAGCAGTTTTAAATAAAATGTGGTTATTATTATGATTGATGTCCTCTAATGGGACTTAAATGGCTAATTTTCAATATAAGATTCTTCTAAAGAATTCGATAAATAACTAAAGGAGAAATAAGAGATTGTAACGGAGAATAGTTGTAATTGAGGTACCAAAGGAATACGAGCGCACCCAAGCTCGCCCGAAAGATTAGAACAAGCTTCCATACGTATCATGAGATTAATATAATACGGACTCCGACAATATTATATAAATACATGAGTTTATATATACCATATGTGGTTTTCATAAATGCTATTTTGGTATTATTTAATATTTAATTGTATAGATTGCAGAGATATAAATATTAAAATTTGTATATATGAGGGTACTTATACAAATAAAAATACCCACAATGAAATATAAATAAATATAGAGTCTATATCTTTTACTTTCACTTCGCTTTGTTTGAAAATACTTATTTCTGCTAAGAAGAGGGCGGTAAGAGAAAGTTGTGCAATTCGCGCACCGCACCAGATTTTTTACGTTGTGGCGAGTTCAATTACAGTTTAGCGATTCTTAAAACACGAGACACACCAGCCAAGTGCGTTAACTGTGATGGGGCGACCCCTACCAACTATAGAGAATACTCAACCCTCAAGAACATGCGTGCTTAGCATAGCGTAGCGTAGCCAAACTAACCACTCCCTGTCAGTGATTGTTGAACACCTAGATATAGGACAGTTTCCAGTTTCTTTGAACCGCCTTTATCAGCAAATACCTCGGGAACCTATTGTCCCGAATTCAAGCACGGGGCGCCGCATGTCACAATGCCAGGTATGAGGGAGATCAGTAATTAGCCGGTGTCACTAACTGGCTTTGATTTTTTTCAGTATTTAAATTTATAATATAATTTGAAGAAAATTGTTCAATTTACCAAATTGGCCTTCTAAAATATTATCCCCCACCAGACATATTATGGAAACATTGAAGAAAACAGATGATATGACGATGTTATTTTGGAAATACCTAGAATCGGCTATTATTAATTAGTTTTCCATAATATTTTTTATCTGCAGTGACTGTAAAGGCTCGGTCAAATAGAACGCGTGCTGAACGTGGACAGAACGATCGCAAACCTCCACAGACTAAGGTAGTCAAACAGGCTATGAACAAAACCAGTATAAAAACTCTCTTCCAATAGGATGCACAGTGTGATTCCTATATTTCGTGTATCTATGATTTCAATCAACATGTTTAGCAGTCCATCGGATGAAAAAGAACTGCTTCTTCTGTTTGCTTCATCCTAAGTTAGACGAAAAAGAAAATGGTTGAACGAGTTCCACTTAATATATTTTAATAATAATGTGATATAATAGATTTTAATCGCCATATTCCTTGAAGTTTTCTGTTTTCCTCCTATGTACATGTGTTTTCTTTCATCAGTACAGTCATGCTCAAGACTAGAAACACTTTATTTTCATATAAAATATAAAAGCTTGCTGCCTAATTTTCTATATATAGGTTTCTATATCGCCTCATCAGCCATTCCTCTCTGCACTTACAGAAAAATGACCAGTGGTTTTCTGACGGATTAGGCTGATCCGCTAAGATCCGGTACGCTCGGACATTCTGCCTGCTGTTTCACCAAGCCATAATTATTACCAAATTATTTTATTTTTTTTAATCTTATTTATTGAAAAATATTACAATCTGTCTCAAGGACATTTATAATAGTGTTCACAGATCACATTCACACTCTATGTACAGTAAATAAAATAGATTATACAGAAAAATAATATATATACAATAAATAAGAATAAAATAACCTAAAAATAAATGAATAAAAAGAACACATACATACCTATATACAATATTTACAATCTGGTGAGAGAACTCCAAACCAGACTTGTCCCTCCAAGTGTGGAGGGAAAAGCATGGCTCCAGGAGATCCCAACACTTCTCTCTCAACCGCGTCACGGGGATTAAACCCAGTGGAGATTGAGCAAGAGCTCTTAAGCCACATACACTCATGTCGTGAGTGGAGAATCTGGCCATTGTCAGAACTCCAATATTTACAAACTATAAAAGGTCGCGGGGCCACTGCCGTTTTAACCTCCTTGGAGGATTATATGGATGGGTGGTGCTGGATAGAGATTGTGCAAAGGGATTTGGATGATGGGTAAGGTTCTGGTGGAATTTGCAGAATTTTGATGGGATAAGGTCTAGGACAAATGGGATATTAAGGTCATGGTGTAGGGTTTTGTTGGTTACATAGAAAGGAGCATCGACTATTGTTCGAAGGACTTTGGATTGGAAGGATTGGATACGTTTGATGTTAGAAAATTTTGCTGTTCCCCACAGTTCAAGTCCGTAAGTCCAAATAGCTTTCAGTATTGTCTTGTAGATCAGTAACTTGTTTTCAATGGAAAGTTTTGATTTCCTGTTTAGTAGCCGGTATAGTTGGCCATATCGTCGGTTTAGTTCCTGTCTTTTAAGTCTGTATTGAGGGTTCCACGTTAGTCGTCTGTCTAAGAGAAAGCCAAGGTACAGGACTGTGTCTGAAAAAGGAAGCTGGATGGAATTAAAGTGTACTGGTGGACAGGAACTCCGTCGGAGCGTGAAGGTGATATGTTGGCATTTGGATTCGTTTACTTTAATACGCCATTTATTACACCAGTGCTCAATCAGGGAGAGGTGTCTTTGGAGGTTTGAGGATGCTATATCAGGATCTTAGTCGGATGATAGAATGGCGGTGTCATCAGCAAAAGTTGCCAAGAAGGTATCGTGTTGGACAGGGATATCGGCGGTAAAGAGGATGTAAAGGACGGGACCCAATACGCTACCTTGAGGAACACCTGCTTCAATTGGATAGCATTGTGAAAATTCAGTACCGCAACGAACTCGGAAGGTACGATCTGAGAGGTAGGAACAGAGAACAAGGTATAAGGACTGAGGAAAAAGGGTTTTCAGCTTGGAAATAAGCCCGGCGTGCCATACTCGGTCGAAAGCTTGAGCTATGTCCAGAAATGCACCCGAGCAATATTGCTTGCTTTCCAATGCTGCGGAAATATGATTAACCACTCGGAGTCCTTGTTTGACTGTAGAGTGTTGTGAACGAAATCCGAACTGATGGGAAGGAAGATTTTGGGATTCTATAAAGGGTAGTATGCATTTCAGGAGGATCTTTTCAAAGAATTTTGAGAAAATCGGAAGTAGGCTAATTGGTCTGTAGGACGTTGAGGTGTTGGGAGGTTCGCCTGATTTCGGAAACAGGATAATAGTGGAGTGTTTCCACAAAAGAGGAAAGTGGGTGGTTCGTAGGATGCTATTGTATATGTATGTAAGGAATATGACAGCTTTAGGAGGGATTTGTCTAAGGATCTGAGAGGTAAGGAGGTCGTATCCAGGTGATTTGCGGGTAGGTAGTTTTTGTAAGAGGAATTTGCCCTCAGAAGGATTAACTGCTTTAGGTGGTAAGGAAAGTGGGATGGGTGAATTAAGGAATTCCTCGACTGCTGATGTGTGGGTGAGATTGGATTCTGGATGAGAGGTGAATGTAAGGGAAAGGTGTTTGGCGAATTCTTCGGCTATATCTTCGTCAGACGCTGCCCAAGAGCCATCACCTCGACGGAGAGGATGTGATATATGATGGTGTTTTAGGATATGTTTAGTGGACCAAATTATTAACCATCAAAAGGTGGTTGTATAAAAAAAACTTTAGTAATTAGTAATTGCTCATTTAAAATGCTTTAAATCTGTGTTAAACTGAAAAAAAATTATAAAACATTTTTCCATTTGATCACAGATTTTACTTTCCAGGTTTTGGAAGAAAATATTTATCAAACTTGTATGTCAGGGAGAGAGTCCAGTTTTACAATTGTTTAACAGTAAAGATGACAAAGACCCTTTCCAAGAACTGCCATTACAGCCATGTTATTCAGTGTCAGAAATTGGTAAATAATGAAACACGTTATCGATAAAAATAAAACTGTTAAAAGTTAAAAATATATTCGATATTTGTTTCTAGGAGCCCAACAATATGACCAATATGGTAAAATATTCACTGTGAAATTGCAGTTTATATTTTATAAAGAACGCCCAGGAGTACGTCCCGGACAAGTGACAAAAGCGGAAAGAATAACTAACAAATTGAGCCAATTCGCTGCTTATGCAATCCAAGGAGATTATCAAGGAGTGAAAGAATTCGGCTCAGACTTGAAAAAATTAGGTCTACCTGTAGAACATGCACCGCAGGTAATGGTTTAGTTTGAGATCTTGTTTTGTTTTTTTTACTGAAAATATAGGATCTAATCAACAATTACATTTTGGTATAAAATTAAAAAAAAACAGAGGTTGAATACTATAAAAATTTATTACGTAGTATTAAATTTGTTTAAATATAAGATATCTTCTTTTCACCCTCTGAACTCTTTGTTTGATAATTCAAGTGTTTGAAACTAGCAAATTGATGAGAATTGCTTCCTAGGAATTTTTAATTCATAGATAATATGAATACAAGACCAAATGCGTAGGCATCAACATCTGATACATAATAATAAAAAATTGTTTCGCCAGAAATTTTTTTTAATTTAATGTAAGTATATTCCTCCCTTTCAGACTATACGGTATTTTTCCCGATTCAGGGGCTTAGGGTGAGGAAGTTATGTCAGAGTTACAAGTACCTCCTCCCCGGCATCGGGACTTGAACGCGTAAACTTGTTTATCACAGGTTTCTCTTGACAACGCATGTTTTGCACAAACATTAGTCCCATTCTCCTGTTAAATAGCTTTTTTAGTAATAAACAGTGGTGGGTCCAGAAATTTTCAAAGGGGATAGTGTATTGCGAATCAGGGGAATTCTACACACCAAAGGTATATATATATATATATATATATATATATATATATATATATATATATATATATATATATATATATATATATATATATATGAAAATAAATTTATATTTTAGTTTTCTTTGTTTCGTCTAGTATTTTCCCATAAAAAGACAATCAAAATTCCTTTACTGGACAATTAACGTCTGTGAACCTAAAACCCAAACTGGAAATAAAAGACAAAATGGAATGTGAAAACTGTGTAGATATTGCGTGGCTAAACACAGCATTCAAAGTTTTATCCATTTTGTTGATGAGCAGGATACTCCAGTACTGAGAGAGAAGTCAGGGAATAACAGAGTGGATTCAGAAGAGGTAGATTATTAACCATATTTCAAGCATAAGGTCCGTGCATATCTCCAGCATGAATATAATATTGATCTACACCACCTCTTCATAGACTACAAACACTCGACAGTGTAGACAGAGGCAAGTTGTATCAGGGCATGGCAAAGATGGGTATCCCGGAAAAACTGACATGAATAGTGCGTGCAACCTTTGAAGGAACACAAGAAAAAAGTACAAAGTCCAGTTTCTTCCATATCAACACAGGATTAAGGTAAGGAGAGCACCTCTCTCCCATCCTATTCAACATTGTTTTGGAAATAGTGATAATGGTCATTAAAACAAATCCTAGGGGGACCATCTATAATCAATCGAAACATCATCTTGGTTTTGCAGATGACGTTGTCATTACTGGTCGCACACAAGTATCTTTACTAAGAGCTTTAGAGTAGTGTGAACATCTTGGAACCAACATTAATAAAAAGAATGGCATACAGGCATAAATTAAATCACGCATGATGGCCGGAAGTAGATATTGCTGGGATCGCGGAAGAATACTTAAGTCAAAGGTGTTGCCTTGGCAGTTAAAGAAGGCCGTATATGTTAGCGTTATTAGACCAGTGATGATATAGGGAAGTGAGACACGGGTCCTCACCAGGGAGTCAGATTAAGTGTACTCAATGTGTGGGAGAGGAAAGTTCTCAGAAAGATTTTTGGCCCCTTGAGCAGATCGGTGGTGACAACGAAACGATCAGGAACTCCGTGAATGATACAAGGCCCCGGATATTGTCACCTACATCAAGAAGAGTAGAATTAGGTGACTGGCGCATTTACAGAGGATGGAAGAGCGGCATATTCCAGATTACGGTGGTTGGAAAACGAGGAGGAAGACTTGAGGACACTGGGAGTTCAAAGTTGAAGAAGTATAGGGGAGGGTGGTGCTGGATAGGGATCGTGCAATAGCATTTGGATGATACGTAAGGTTCTGTTGAATAAGGTCTCGGACAAATGGGATGTTGAGGTCATGGTGTCGGGTTTTATTGGTTATATAGAACGGAGTATTGACTATTGTTCGAAAGACTTTGGACTCAAAAGGATTCGATCCGTCTGATGCTAGATATAAAGTATAATAAAATTACTTTAAAAAACAGATTACTATTTACACATTCTTCATTAAATTCCATTTTTGGTGATACCTCATTTTATTTCGTAATGGTATTTCCATTTCAAGTTTCATTCTACTAGTCAAAATTTTTGATTTTCATAACTAAAAACCTTTCAGGTACAAAATGGAGCGTTTTACTAATCAAGTATTGTACCTAAGACCTTTCATGTCTCCTGAGAGGTACAAGAATAATAATGAGCATATATAAAACACGAATTAGTATTCTCTCGTTGATACGTTTTCTCTTTTCACCAAGTAACAATCATCTTCTTTTTTTAATGTTTAGATTTCACAACTCTTTAAAATTGGATCACAAAATTATGAAGATATGAAGCAGTTTAGTATGTGCGTTGAAGAAGCTCTATTTAGGCTGACTGCTCATAGGGATCGTGCTCTCGTTTACAAAATGGAAGAAGTTCAAATCACCACTGTTGATGAGCTGTATGTTGAACAAAATGCTAATGGAGGAGTGGACAAACAAATCGCTAGGGTCAGGCTATTCTTTTTGGGTTTCCTTTCAGGTAATAAGAATTGTTTTTGAACATTAATGACTTTCTGTTTATTTTTTAAAATTAAGAATTAAACGCGAAACTAATTGCATGAATATAATTTTCTAAATTATTACTCATGTATTTCTAGGACTATTTTATTCAATAATGTTGCATTAACAGCTTTATAAACGCTGCGCATTATTCAAATATTACTCAATCTATTATTATTTTCAAATTGTTGTCCTACCATTAAAATTGTGTCTAAAAGATAAGTAACTGATATCTTGATCGAGATAAGGAGACAGAAGGGCTCTTATCCACGACCTCCTTGTGATACTGTCAAAAATACTGGTTGTGGCCATTCTTACTACCAGATGATTGTCATGTCCCTGTAAATCGTCATAAAATGTTTTGTAGAATCCGTCCGTATTCGCTGTCTTGGCAGGGCGGTGTGTAAACGTGTAAACGACGAGAAAATTAGATATATGTGGTTTAGTTAGTGTAAGCAATGTGAAATGTCGACGGGACGATTGCCAGCAGGTTGTTTAACTCATCATCAGAATGACTTGGACACATTTGACTTGACATGTACACGCATGTTTCGTTACTTTGGGCAATTTTGTTTTTACTCTTTCGTATTTTTAGGTTTATGTCTTTTTTTTTTTTTTTGCTTTTATTTTATTAATTTACTTTGGTAAGAATTTTATTTTTGTTTATGAGAACATTTTAGGTTTGATCTGTTTAGAAATTCTAATTTATGTATTTTTTTTTTCTTTCTCTCAGCAGGAACAGAGTTTTCGTTATCTAAATTTTGTATTTTCTGTTTTCCTTCATTATTAATACCTGGGAAATTTTTTAACTTATTGTTCTTCTCAATAGAAATATTATCATTAATCATGGTCTCTGGGTTCATGTTAGCTCTAACCTCTGAAGAAATATTCCTATCCCATTTAATTGCCGTATCCGAAACCTGGTTGAAGCCTACAATCCCCCGTCTTTTCAGATCCTTCTATCTGAAATCCTCGTCTTAAGAAGAATAGTAGGGAATTTAATATTTTTAGTTTTTTAAGTAAATCATGTTTTTTGTTTTATAGAAGCGATAAATAAAAAAATATTTCCCTGAAGTAATTAACAATTTCTTCACAGGAAACTAGAATGAATTTACTTCAAACGGAAATAGAGTTTGTAATTGCAATATTTTCTGTTATATTAAAGTTGACAAAATACGATGCAGTTTTTTTTTTTTATGCCTTACAGATATCTGCCTGTATACCTTTTAAACGTCATATTTCTAGATCACAAGATTTAAGATATCAGCAGTATGGTCACACAAGAAAACACAATCAATTTGTCGATGTGGTCTTAACCACGAGAGCAAGCTTACTAAATCACTTAACATACTTACGAAATGTGCCAATTTCAAAAGAGAACTGTAAACAAACAAACTGTAAAGGCTGTCAAACCCTAAAGGAACTTCGAAATACCAGAAGACATTTCTAGCAACTAACACCTGCTCAATCAGTAGAAACGCATCGCTTAGAAGAGTTCCCGCCCTTCAGACAGCCACCGCGGTGCCCTCCGTCATTACAACCTGGAATAGGCACCGGACTTCAGCGCTAAACGGCAACAGCCCATGCAGAGATCCGATCCCAGCCGGCATTGTCGTGTATGGGGAGTGGCATTCACAGCCAGTACCTCCGATGATTAATGGTTCTTCCCACAACATAAAGAAAATAAGTAATCTTAACAATTTCATCAATCCCATTTTCAACCTTCAATAATTACAATTTTTCACCACAAATTTTTCAAGTCTGGTGCCCTACTTATGCATCCTAATAATTTAACTATAGGCACCTTGTCAATTATCCTTTGAACGTTGACTCAAACAACATAGAACAGAACTTGATTTAAATCTGGACGAAAACGGGCAGACATAACACAGATAACCAAAACTAATCTAACAACTCATTAAAAAATTTCCACTCCAGGATGTACAATGTACATCATATATAAAAAAAAAAAAAAAAAAAGAAAACTGCATCGTATTTTGTCATCTTTAATATAACAGAAAATATAGCAATTACAAACTCTATTTCCGTTTGAAGTAAATTCATTCTAGTTTCCTGTGAAGAAATTGTTAATTACTTCAGGGAAATATTTTTTTATTTATCACTTCTATAAAACAAAAAACATGATTTACTTAAAAAAACCAAAAATATTAAATTCCCTACTATTCTTCTTAAGACGAGGATTTCATCAACTAACTACAATATACAGAATACTTGACAAAGCATTTATAGAAAATCCAGTATAAAAAAAAGTTGTAAAAACCTCTTAAAACTATAATTAGGTTCATAACATGATATAAATAAAGATTATCTACTGGAACGTTTATTACATCTACCTTAGTAAAATTACCATTGGATAAAGAATCATAGGAGAAAAAATCTTTTGCTTCGTTATGCTAGGCATACAGCTGTTATTATGTTTAGTATGCTGGACAACAATTGCTATGGTACTTCGCATAAGAATTCTGTTATAATACTGAGCCTCATATACCCGAGGCATCAGCCGAATAAAAACAAGCTGTAAATAAACTTGAAAATAAAATTTTTAACTGCATTTTTATTTATTTTTTTTGTATTTTAATTTATTTATTTGTTTAGTAGTATTTATTTGTTAGTTTGGATGGCACCCACATAACAAATCAGCCTGGTTTAATTTTTCTACTACTTATTCATTCTGAAAGTCCTTAATCCAAGGCAAATCAAGTAAAGGTGATATGTGATAAGTGAAAATTCTAAAGTGAAATCAATAACAACATTTTAAAAAAGGTTTTAACGCATTATCTAGCAGTATTATCTATGAAAGACAATGTTGAAATAAAAGCCTATGTTACACAAAGAGATAGTAGGTAGGTAAACAAAACAATAAAATTGAGATTAAAAAGGCTTATAGGCTCGTTTTTATAGTGACCAATCTTTCGTTTTGCCATGTGTTTTCTTTCCAAGTATTTTTTTTTTTTTAACTTTTATTGAGTATTAATACAGTCTGCCACACTGAAGGGCATTGGTACTAGAGCTATAGTATTCATTCACACAATATGTACATAAGAAAGGGGAAAAAAAAAATATATATATATATATATATAAATAAAAAGATAAGTAATATACAAGATAATTAAAACAACAGATCAGCCGAATAATAACAAAACAAATGAAACACATTCACACTTATGTACTATATTTACATTGGCCCAGAGGACTCCGAATCAAGCTTTGTTCCCCCAACTGTGGAAGCCAAAGCAGGACTCCAGGAGATCCCAGTGCTTCTCTCCCAGCCGCGTCACTGGTATAGTAAGCCAGTGGAGGCTGATGGATGGCACTAGAGCAACAGACGCTCAGGACATGAGTGAAGAATCTGGCCAGTGCCAGTACTCCAATATATACATTTTTACAAAAGGTCGCGGGGCCACTGCCGTTTTAATCTCCGAGGAGGATTGTAGGGATGACTGGAGGTAGATAGTGACTGTGCTGCAGGATTAGGATGATGAGTGAGATTAGATTATGGGTAAGGTTCTGGTGAAATTTGGAAAATTTGTCTGGGATTAGGTCAAGTACAAACGGGATATTAAGGTCATTGTGTAGGGTTTTATTGGTTACATAAAAGGGAGCATCGACTATTGTTCGGAGAACTTTAGACTGAAAGGATTGAATGCGTTTGATGTTGAAAAGTTTTGCTGTCCCCCACAGTTCGAGTCCGTAGATCCAGATAGGTTCAGGATTGTCTTGTAGATTAATAGTTTGTTCTCAACTGAAAGTTGAAATTTTTTTTTGAGTAGTCTATATAGTTGGCCATATCGTAAAAGGAAGCCAAGGTACCGAACTGTGTCGGAGAGGGGAAGTGGTATGGAGTTGAAATTGGTGGACACGACTTGCGCCGAAGGGTGAAGTGGTGTGTTTGGATTTAAATTCATTTACTTGGATGCGCCACTTATTACACCAGTGTTCAGTAAGAGAGAGGTGACTTTGTAGGTTAAAGGATGCTGTTTCGGGATCTGAATTAGAAAATAGGATGGCCGTGTCATCAGATGTTGCCAGGAGAGTTTCAGGATGAGTAGGAATATCAGCGGTAAATAGAATATAAAGGATAGGAGCAAAGACGCTCCCTTGAGGAACTCCGGCCTGAATTGAATAACACTTGGAAAATTCAGTTCCACAGCGGACTTGAAAGGAGCGGTTGGAGAGATAGGATCGAAGTACCAGATATAAGGACTGAGGTACATAGGTTTTAAGCTTGAAGATCAATCCGGTGTGCCATACCCGGTCAAATGCTTGCGCAATGTCCAGAAATGCACCCGAGCAATATTGCTTGCTTTCTAGGGCTGAGGATATATGGTCAACAACTCGGAGGCCTTGTTGGACAGTGGAATGTTGGGAACGAAATCCGAATTGGTGGGTAGGAAGGTTTTGGAATTCTATAATGGGTAGGATACGTTTCAGTAGAATCTTTTCAAAGATTTTTGAAAGGATGGGAAGTAGGCTTATTGATTTATAGGAAGTTGTGTTATTAGAAGGTTTACTTGGTTTCAGAAAAAGGATGATGACAGAATGTTTCCATAAGAGAGGAAAGTGGGTAGTTCGTAGGATAAAATTGTATATATAAGTGAGGAATATGATTGCTTTGGATGGAAGTTGCCGAAGGATATGCGGCATTAGACGGTCGTATCCAGGAGATTTACGGGGAGATAGTTTTTGTAAATGATGTTTGACCTCAGAAGGATTAACTGCTTTTGGTGGTAAGGAAAGTGGGATGGGTGAAGAGAGGAATTCTTCTACTATTGCAGTGTGGGTAGGATGGGATTCCGGATGAGGAGTGAATGTGCAGGAGAGGTATTTGGCGAATTCCTCAGCTTTGTCTTCATCTTCACGCCGCCCAGGAGCCATCACTTTGTCGGAGGGGATGGGAGACATGGTGGGATTTTAGGATTTTTTTAGTGATATTCCAAAGGGAGTTATCATGAGTGGAGAGAGATGTAAGGTAGGAATTAAAGGATTGGGATCTGAAATAGGATAATTCCTGCTTCAGTTGCTTACGGTAATAATTATAGGAACGGCGATCAGCTGGATGTCTGGTGCGTTGCCATAATGATCTGGCATGGCGTTTGATATGGATTAGGTCATGGAGATGTTTGGTTAAGTTATTTTTTTAAAGGATTTTCGGGGAGTGATTTGGGAAGGAAGCAGTCCAGACTGCTTGTTGAATCATGGTAGTAAAGGAATGTACGGCATTGTCTAGGTCTTCTGCGGTTTTCAGGGTTATTCTGAGGTCAATTTGATCGGAAAGGTCATTAAGACGGGTAAGAGAATGATTCCAAGTAATTAATTGACTAAAAGTTCATTTCCAATAATATCCGTTCTTTATACAAAATTCTTAGTTATTAACTTTAAACGAAACTGTATAAAAGTGAAAAAAACTAATGAACACCATATAAAAGACAAAAAAAGTGCTGCCCTGTTGTTTGTTGTCTGCGCGCTGTGTGGCCGATGGGGAATCTACTGGTTAATATGTCCATTTTTTTTTTTTTTTTTTTTATGAAATATTTCTCACTTATCCAAACTAATTTTTTATTGCTGAAAAAAGTTATTAAATACTGACTTATGAAAGTTTTTCTATTTTATTAAACATGTCAAAACCAATATTTGACATAATTATAATATTATTGAGACAGTGACTACCAATTTCTTTTTCACTGACAGGTTTTGATATATTTTTTGTATTTGATATTATAAGCAAATTAAAAAAAACGTTTATTATTATAATGGAGCTACGGTGATTAAAGAACCCGGTCCCCCTCCACTAAAGCCAACCAATCTCCACGGTCTTGTGCTACTCCCTCCATCTTCGAACGCCCAGCCGCCTCAGATCGTCCTCCATTTCTTCCAGCCATCTGATCCGAGGGATTCCTCTACTTCTTTTGCCATCCGGCTCTCATGCAGCATCTTCTTTGGCATTCTTAGGTCTGGCATTCTTCTACATTACCTAACCATCTGATTCATGCTGATGCTCTTACCGCTGATTCCTGGTCTGTTTATCTGAGAAATCTTCTTGATATTTTTCTACATTTTAGTTTCATACAGTCTTTTATTTTGTTTTCAAATGGTATTTGCATTGTTTCTTTTTACACTATAGTCTTCAGCGATTTAACAAGTCCTTCATTGAATCATTTTCTACCTGGCATTGTTTCTTTCTTTAATCACTCTTCCGAAGTCATTATCAAACCAGTCATTTCAGTTTCTTTTTGGTGTGGTACCTATAATGTCCTCTGTCACTGCTCCTAAAACATCTTTAGGGTGTGTCCACTTTCCTTATATTTTCATATTAATAGACACTTGTTCTCTTAGCCTTTCTGTTAATATTCTTTGAAATTGTTGAGCTACAGGTTCCTCTTTTAGTTTTTCAACATTGTGAATGGTTATGCTTCTTACGTTCCCTGTTTCTTTTAAGCTTTTGTTTTTATAAAAATCGATATCAGATAATGGTCTGATTCACAGTTAGCTCCCCTATAACTGCGGAAATCAAAAATATCATTGGCGTGTATGCCATCAATGAAAACATGGACGATTTGATTTTTGGTTAAAATTTGAGAGAAAACATGCTTCTTTCGGTGTATTCTCGCTTGTTTCCTCACGTTTGCTGTGCTTGTCTATTACTATTAACTGGGACAGAAAAGATAAGAATTTCTTTTCTGTTCCTATCCTACATTTTTTAACGTTCTATAGAATGCATTATTTTCCTCTTCATTGTCTTTATCTTCTATAGGTGCATGGTTGCTAACAAGGGAAATGTTGAAAAACTTTTCTTTCAATCTTAATACACATACATCTTTTTTCGTTTATAGTTAAATATTTGAAAAAAAGAGTTTTTTTGCAGAAAAGCCTTTGCCCACAATGTTCTGGCTATTTCCGCTATTAATAATAGTGAAGTGCCTCATGAGTAGTGTGTCTCTCCATCGGATTTCTTGTAATGCCAATATATATATATATATATATATATATATATATATATATAAGGATTTAGGAAGAGAAATATAAAACATTATATATATATATATATATATATATATAATGTTTTATATTTCTCTTCCTAAATCCTTTCCAGCTTCAGGTTGGAACAAGCTCCTGACATTCCAGGTCGCTAAATTTATTTTTCAGTGTCATTGATGAATCATTGATAGCCGTTTGACAGCAAAAAAAATTTCCCATGTCCAAAATTAGATATAAAAATATTGTCAAAGAGAAATCATGTCCATGGAATTTTTAATGAAATTATGAAATGAAATGAAAAAATAATTTTCTTCTGGGACTTCAATCCCCTAAGAATAATAACAGAGTTACAAATTTATGAGTTTTAGTCTGTAAATTATATGATACTAAATTATTCAAAATAATTATTACAGGAACTCCAGACGTAGAACTAGGAGTAAATGACCTCGTAAGGCAGGGGAAAGAAGTAGTAGGTCGCCACGATATTATACCAGTTGTAACTGAAGAATGGATAAGACTGGAATCAGTAGAATTTCACAGTTGTGTTCAGCAGGATGAATATGAGAAAACAAGAACGATAAGGTAAGGCATGAGCTCATATGGTAATATAGCTATTTTCAGTTCAAATTCCTCATCAACTTAACAAGTGACTCTTCCAGGTTTAAACCACCAGATGCTTGTTACATTGAGTTAATGAGATTCAGAATAAGGCCACCAAGAAATAGGGAACTTCCTCTCCAGCTCAAAGTTACATTTTGTATAACAGGAAATAAGGTTTGTTTATTCAATATTACGGATTGTACAATGGACATCATATTTGAGGTTCAACACCATTACGACCAGAATTTTTTTCTTGAAATAAACATATTTCATTTCGTAAAACTTAGTTAGTTTTGAAGTTATTAAAAATATATTCAGTTAAGACTTATATTACATAATTACATATTTTATTTAAAGCTTTAGAAATGGGTAAGAACACAACTGATCAATTATAAGTATGAAAAATATTTTCAAGAATTTCAATCGATATTTTTATTGGGTTAGCCGAAGCACAGTGGGACCGATGACCGTTCTAGGACAAAATTCATAATTTAGGACAAATTACCATAATTTTCAACTGGAAATCATGTATTTGTCACAAATAAATATAAATAAGACTTTTATGGTTTAAATTTATTAATTTATGGTAAAAATACAAAAAAGAAAATTCTATTTTTTCATATTTTAGGCAATAAAACTTCCAATTTTCTTCATATTTTTTTATTTATGTTTGTTGTCTAAAAAACAAATTCTAGATTTATTTACGTACTGAGAAAAAAATGACTATATATGATGAACATAATTTTCGATTGAAATCATTTTTTATTCGTCACAAATAAATAAAAAAGATATTTTTATGGTTAGATAGATAGATATTTTATTTGTTTTTGGGGAGTTCCCCATACAAATAGAGCCTAGCTTGGCTATTGTGGAATAATATGGTTTTACAAGTTACATCCATATCATTTAAATATAAATTAAATTTACAATGTTTTATGTTTAGAATGGGTTTTAAAAAACATGAAAAACAATAAAAATTAAAAACATGAAACGATAATAATAATGTCTGCTTAATTTAATGTCTGCCAGTGTTTCAACTGCCTCCCGCAGTGCCACATCCTACGCCCTAAAGACGACCTGCAAAGTGGGTCGAAACGTCGGCAAAAATTAAAATAATTAATATATTTTAATTTTTTATTTAATTTACCGCACCCTCGACTTACTCCTTCTCAGATAATAATAATAATAGCATAATCATAGTTAATAATAGTTAATAGCATAATAATAGTTATATGAACGTGTTACTATGATAGAAACAATAAAAAATAAAAATATTTATGTATATAAACAAAATATTACTTTTAAGATTAACTAAAAACAAACACTTAATATAACATGGTCTATGATCAACAATTTTGTGTATGCACTGTGTACTCCCATCATATAATAGTAAACTTTTCAATATGGTTTCGATGTTAAGGTTATCAGAAAATAGTAAGATGAAGTTTTGGAGGAATTTTTGTCTATAGTCATTGTATGCTGGGCAGTGAAGAAGAATGTGATGTAACCTATTGTAGATAAATTGACTGCATGATATACAAGTTTCTTGAAACTCAATCGAAAAAGTTGTGTTTTTTGCATAGATTCTGATATATTCTGGGTTTGCAACTCTTAATTGACTAACACATCTCAATTTATTTATATGGACTTTGAATGTTAGGTACGTTTCGCTATCGGGAGCATAGTTACTGTATAGCATTCTGTATAAATGGTAGTTAGTTGAGTTTAAAGTTCTATGTATGTCGGCTGAGAAACAATGGTTGTGTGCTTTTTCCAGGATATCGTATTTGTATCGAAGAAGTCCGTTTGTAGGGTGAACAGAAAGCTCTTCTGCAAAGGCATTAAGCTCGGCTATTGCTCTAAATTGAGACACCCAATTGAAGTCTATGTCAGGCTTATCCTTGTCTGTAGGCGAACTATGTAGTTTGGGGTATTTCTGGGCCAACCAAACAGTTAAACTTAAAAAATTTAAGTTGGACCGTTTCGAATGCCTTAAGATAATTGGGGCTCCATACTTCAGAAGCATAAAGCAATATTGATGAAACTATGGAGTCAAATAACACAAATTAATTTAATTGATTTCCTCATCCTCAGTATCGACATCCGTAGGAATGATACTCTCTGAACAAAGTCCCTCATAATCACTTCCTAACTGCAATCAAAATTTCTAGTTCGTTAGATTTTTTCTTTTCTTGTCTGCACACTCTGAAAATGTTTACACTCAAAGATCCATAACCATACAAAGTGCTCCCTCAAAACTTAACGCAACTTGCGCCAGGCAGACCTCTTCTAGGCACCCCTACTATATTATATCCTTAACATTTCACTCATTAGATTTCGAAGCAACCAAAAAAACATTATTCGGTCTCTCTGATCCCTCGAAACCTCGAGAGGAATGGTAATTGTTATCAGGGCTACAAACGTTCTTCAGCTATGACATATTTCGTCTAAAAATTTGATTTTTCAAAAGCCCATTTATTTATTTTATGTAAATAGGGCAACATTGTCTTTCAAACCTCTATAAATTTTATTATATGATTCATAATGTTTTAATAGGATTAAAAAAAATTAAGTCCATAACTTTAGTTTATATTTTCTAAAATAATTATAAAACACTGTGCGCAACGCTGCACAGAATTTGACCTACATTACTTTAAATAATATAAAAAATGCTACAAAAGGAAAAAAAAAATGTAGCGGTGGAATATCAGGAAGAATATTACACAGACCATATGAGTGTTATTTATGTATTTCAAAGTATTGATTTAAGCTATTTTTACATGCAATTTTATCCAACATCAAACTGGTCGAACCTAAATTAATCCAGTGAAAAAGAAAGATAATTAACTGTACTATCAAAAGCAGTCTTAAGCAATAAAGCACACAGGCTCTGATTTAATCATTAAATAAAGTAATGCTGGAACTATTCGTCAACTGGTGAAACTAGCCCAAACATCTCTTTTCCGTACCCTATTGTGATAGTTGAAAACTTACTAGGCCACATTTTAGGCCTTTATCTATCTATAAAAAGGACGATATATTACATTTCGAAAGTTGTTTCTGTCCTCCTAGATTGGCGATCAGTGGGGCCTGTGCGACATTTTGACCCAAACGTATGGGTCATCCTCTGGACTATCGTTTGTAGCTCGAGACAAGAACTCGCGAGTTCTTAAACGCCAGATAGCTCAATGAAAATATCGACTGAAATTCCTACAATTTCGTTACATACTTTATTTTAAAATTATCTTTTATTGGCAACATTTTGGTTTGACCTTTTTTTGTCCATTCCAAGTCGATTTTAATAATGATTATTATGGAATGTTCATGTATTTTCACTTATTTTACCTATTCTACTCAACAATAAGTAACCTTATTTGCCCTCTATTTATTTTAGTCTATACATAATAATTTGAACTGTACAGTAACAGATCAGAAAAAAAGTAGTTATTTGATATTGTAATAACTACAGAGCTATAATATTTACTACAGGTCATAATAAAAAATAAAATATTATTATTATTTCTATGTTTGAGGAATTATTTGTCGTCGTTCCTCCTCAGCATCTAAATATATGTATGCATGGATGCTGAGGTGAGGGACAAAGCATCACCGAAACGTACAGATGTATAGATAACGTACATATATAATTAAATATATATATGTGTATGTGTGTATACTTTTTTTTAACCTTTAGGCAAAGTTTTAGAGAAAAAATTATTTATACTTAATGCTGGAGAATACAAAACTATAATAATTTAATTACAATAGTAATTGACTATTTTAATTATGGATCCCTACAGGTGGAAATTCATGGAGATATTTTAGTACCAGGATTTTCAAGTAGAAAGCTAGGACAGATTCCTTGCGAAGATGTCATGGTAAGGATTCCTATACCGGAGTGCTGGATATACCAATTTCGAGTTGAAAAACACTTCCGCTACGGCTCAGTTAAATCAGCTCATAGAAGGTACCTTTTTTAATTTGATTTTCTTGTAGATAAAAAATCATTTCAAATGAATTAATTCTAATAAATTGACAACGACGATCTAAATATCCTCTTATACAGAAACATGGCATGCACAGTTATTTGTTAAGACTTACATGGATGAATTTAGAGACCCACTAAAATAATAGAAAATTCAAAACGTTTCAACATTCCAATATAAACAGAAAGTGACAAAAAGTTACCTCATTCTGCTTCAAACAATACCCAACATACAGACTTAGATATTCCAACAGTCATAATCACACTTTTTTAATCAAATACTTTTCTTCCCCATACTAGATTATTCCTGGTAAACTTTACAATGGATATTTTTTCGGTTTATCGATAAAATTCACTGGTACATTCTGTTGGAACTGAACTTATAAGAACGTTCTTGTGAATTTTGACCTTCATATTCATCGGTAAAAAAACTCATCAAGTGCACAAAAATGACACACACCCTTTTTCCGGTTATGGCATCCTTCGAAACTTATATTATTTTACCAACTTGACCGTTGGAGGGGAGTGTAGAACGACTTTTTCCGATAGGAGTTAGTCCGTCCGATGTTGCTATCTTTAGGAAAATTATAGGCTCGATAAGGTAGCTTAAGATAAGCCAGTGTACGTCTGTAACCTACCAATTAAGCATTCTGTACCTTGTCTTATAAATATTAATTTTAGTTGGCAAAAAACTCGCCAACTCGATTTGATTTATATTTATTTTTGTTGGTCTCAGTGTTGGTGATATGTTCACTTATAAAAATTAAATATTTAATTTAAATTAATTTAAATAGTTGCTGCTGGTCTCTATGAAAAATCTGAACTACCTGTACCTAATCCTAAATCATATCACAACTTTAAATAAAAAACTCAAGACACTCAACAAAGTGTTAGTTTTATTATTATAATTATACCATTTTTACAATAGATTCCTTCCTAAACAACCTCCGTATAAAATGAAGTAAGTAATATTTTTTACTTTCACTTATTATATGTACTTACTATATTTTTACTTTCACTTTCACTATATGTAATATATAAGTAAGTGTAAGTATTGCGATCGAGAAAATTTTTGAATCTGAGTTTTCGACGGATTTATACGTTTTGAGGTACCCTGAGTCGAAATAACAATGTCAAGAAAAATGGTGTGTGTGTGTATGTATGTTAGCAGTCTACCTCAAAAACTAAAAGTCGTACGAAACTGACATTACGTATTTAAGATAGGTATATGCCTTAGATGTGACAGCAGCTTTTTCCTTAAAATCGGCTAACCGGAAGTGCCACTTTATATTAACGCTGAAACACATTTTCACAGTTTTCTCAAAAACGGCTCTAACGATTTTGATTAAAATCGGTGTATCATTGTATAATTAAGTGGTCTTTAATATAAATTAGGTCTTATCCCCATTGATGTCACTTTACAGGGCTTAAATGCCCAATGTTTATATACGTCTTCCTCTAAAGTACCTTTAATATGGTTTATTTTAAAAAGATAATTATTTCGCATTATTCAGAGTTACGAAAAAATGCTAAATATAACTTTTGAAAGAATTCGATAAGTTAATAAAGGAGAAAAAAAATAAAAATGCAGAAAAACGTAGCTATAGACTGTAGCGCCTAAACGAATGTACCGATTTCATTGAAACTTCGCTAAAATCATTTTCTCGACACCCCTTCAAATTTATCTATATAACATTCATCAGCGAAAAGAAGCTGAAAAAAAGTTACGAAGGATGGTAAAATTAAATTCCGAATAACTCAAAAAGTATTTCTAAAAGTTTATGGAATAGCCTAAAAAAGAAAAAAAAATCGCTAAAATCGGATAATTAGGAGATAAGATATGGTCTCTAGTTTTTTTTTAATACGTTCTGCTGCAATGGTTATATCCTTTGTTTCGGTTTTTGAATTTTGAATGTGTTAATAAGGTAATGCTATTATTTTTTTTTTAAATACAATTTAAAACATTTTATAATAGCCTAACATGGCCAGAAAATAATTTTTATTCAAAGGTCAAAGAGTAAGTGAAAGTTGTGTGTTGCGCGCACCAGATTTTTTTTTTTTTTTAGTATTAATACATTCCACCACACTGAAGGGCATTGTTAATAGGGCTATAACTATGCCATTTATGAGTACTGATTGATGTAGCAGAGGATTGTATCTACGCCAGTACCGCTTTTCCACGGATTATGTGTATTTTCTACGGAACTGCTTCAAATATTTTAAAACGTAATCAGTGATTTAGAAAGAAAAATATATTTTCCAGATGTTTTATTTCAGCACGTTTATCGTTATTGTTGGCCCTTTAATTACAAGTATCGCTTGATTGTCAACTTGAAATTTTTTTTTGTTGATAAAATTGACTTTTACACTTGCTTTTTAATGCCTATGCCAATATTTTTTTAATATCTTTGAATGATTTATTATTTTCCGACTATCCAGCTTTAATAAAAGGCCAATCATGACGAAATTAAGCGGAATGATGATTCTCAGTGACCAAAAAAACTAACTCAAATTCTTCAGCCTGCCATGTTTGGACTTCAATTTGGGGCAGTGCGTTCTATCTTTTTTTGTAGGAACATTGGTTTTTTTTTAATAATAACGATATTCAATTTATATTATGTGGGGTGGAGGGTGCACAGTAGAGGAGTCCGCCCACAGACTAATAATGTTTATAATATTGTCATTGATTTCACAAGGAATTTCATACCATAAACATAATAATACTACTTTTAGTTGCAGAAGGTTTATAAGCCGCAAATGGTGGGGAAAAAACTTCTCTACAGTGCATCCCACATGTGCCCAATGGAATTTAGATCTGGAGATAATGCGGGAAGGGGCAGATGCGATATGTCCAGATTTTCAAGATATTGATAAACAGCTTTTTCCTATGAGGTCGCGTAATGACTTCAACAAAATGGAAATCTGTGCCAATTATGGCTGTAGTTTGAGGAATGTACTCCTCTATAGTTTCTTGAACATAACGAACTGCAATGAGATTATCTTCCACAATATGTAATAGAGTCCGTCCTCCTGAACCAGCATTGCAGGAAGCACAAATTGTGGCAGTGTAGATATTTACTGTTCTCGGCATAGGATAGCTATTAAAAGAGAAACACAACTTCTCTGTAAACATAACAGCATTCCAATTGCTATCCTCATCTAGGCGCTCGCTGCACCGTGATCTGCGCTGTTACTACAGGTCGTCTTAAAGGTATTATACCAACTTTTCACAAACGATTAAGAATGGTTTGTGTTGGTATGGGCCTAGGAAGAATATTCAAAACTTCATTTAGGCTCTGTCGGGCACCATTTATTTTTTTTTTTTCGTTCTTTTTAGGCTATACGGGGTTTTCCTGGGTCAGAGAGTGAGGACGGAAGATTTATGCCAGAGTTAAAAACCCCACTAAGCACCGGAATGCTAACTCGTATTATTTTATTCCGTAAAACTTCGGTTATCACGTTGCCGGGCAACTCTTCTCTTATCAGTCGAGCACCATGAAAAGGGTTGCTTCATGCAGTGAAACCAATATTTCTGTCATCGCTTGGTGCCATAATGTACTGAGATCCCCTAACAGGTCTCCTATAGGTAATTCCGGTTTATCTGAATCTGGTTAAAGTTCGAGAGAGCACATCTGAGAGACGCCATCTACATCGGCAATATCCCCTTACCAATTGCGATATTATTGCGAACTTTTAGTTCAATATTATGTATTTCCTGTGTTAAACATAATATTACTGGATTTAAATTGCAAAAAGTCGAAAAAAACTGTTAGTTTACAAAATGAGTATTCTTTATGATGGCTATCTTTTAGTTAATAATTTATTAAAGATACAGAATATTCGTAGCTTACTTTTTATGTTTAGCAACAAATAAGATAATCCCAAACAATAGGTTATCTAAATTAAAACGAATAAGATAAGCAAGAAATCAAAATATCTCTATTCAGTTTTGATTTGTATTTATGCAAATACACACACACACACACACACACACACACACACACACACACACACACACACACACACACACACACACACATATATACATATATGTACGGCTAGGGTAGCCGTACGGGCTACGGCGCTTGCAATAGGTATTTTTTTTATTTATGTTTTCCACCCTCCCATGCCACTATGGCAATACGGGTGTTTGCGATACTTTGTTATTAGGCATGAATGCTTAATAACACACTACTACTTGTCAACATAATGTACAGTTCTTCTGTTCTTCTTCTTCTTTCGGCCTACCTTCCAGAATCTGGAGGTGTTCCTGGCGCTTGTCCTCTTCTTCTGCGGGCACCAATATGGAAGTGAGCGGGCCCCACCGCCGTTTTCCATCCATTTATGAAATCCTTAAACCGCGGGAAATTTTCCTCGCTGACTAACTGAGGAAATTCATTTTCAGTGAGAACATAGATTCCCGCGGCTCTTGTCATAGTCGCTCTTAACGTTTCAAATGCGGTGCAGGTCGTGACCACGTGCTCTACAGTTTCCGGAACACTACAGATTGAGCATAGAGGATCTACATCAATGCCCCGACCGTGAAGTTTAGCTGGAAATCCTCCATGCCCAGTGAGGAACTGGGAAATCCAGTAGTCCGGGAGGACCCACTTTGCCTGAAGCCTCGACTTTACTGTGGGAAAGTACTTTCTCAATATACTTCCTTTAGGAGTTGCTACCCACCGCCGGTTCCATGCTTCAATTGTATCCTCCCGGAATATCTTTTTCCATCTATTAGGCGCTTCCATAATCCTCATCTGCAGATTGTTACTGGAAAGTACTGTAGAGCCTTCCATCTTATAAGAATATTTTGTCACTTCTTCTAGGAGGAGGAGGTCGAGAGGCACCACCCCCGCTAGGACCTGCACCGCTTCATGCGAAGTTGTCCTGTATGTTCTGGTGACCCGAAGCAGAGCTGTCCTCTGAGTCGACGCCAGCCTTTTTTTTTTTTTATTTGTCGTAGTGTGAGGTTACGGAACCAG